TTAAACGTAGCTAAAGAAGCTTAAGTAGTAGTAGTACTCCTATGGAACCATGGATAATTTACCTTGTATTTATTGATTCTCAGAATTGGCAACATAATGCTTAGTCCACTGACCTATGTTTGCTGCACAAAATGTAAAAAAGAAAAATTAATCATATGTAATATATTTGTCAAATGTCTGCTATATACGAGGGAGCAAGAGATTCCTATATTAATCTTCACAACAATCCTATAAAGCACATTTTGTTACTCATGTCTAAACATTTTAAAAAATCCGAGGTAAAGAGGTAAAAAATGTGTCCCAGTCACACTGTTGGATAAGAGTATAGCTGGGATTGGAATTCGGGCATTCTAATGCCCATATCCAATGCAACACTTTATAGAAATCCACTGTTGAAACGCATTGCCAATTATATAGGCATAGTTCTGCATCCTACTCATTTTAGCTACATGTGTTTATTGTTCTCAATGATGACGTTAATTATTCATTTTAAGAACAGAGCATCATATAGAAATCTGACATGGCAATATGTGCCTTTTAAGAAGGAAAGCATAATAAATCATCTCAAAATGTTTCACAATTTTGTTGGTCTTATCATTAGAACAATCTTTATTTGAAGCTTGTGTCTCATAGATCACATAGTGAGCTAGAGGTATTCTTTCCATCTTCCTTGGTTTTTTTCCAACCACATACTCTAGCATGGTTAGGATGAGCCAAAACAGAGCCATGACCTTTAGGTGTGCTCAGAAGAGCAAGAGGACACCATGAAGTAGAGTAATTAAACAACTAGAGCTGTTCACACCTACCTCCTCAGCTGCAGACCTTTCCCCAAACGTTCTCTCGTAACACTCTTTGTTTGGTGTGGCCATATTAAAAGCAAAACCAAAGCAGTGTTACGGGAGTGGGGGATAGGGGGGTTGTAAAGCTTGAATTTCTAAATGAAGTTATACAAACTATTCCTGTCTATAATAATTTCTCTTCCATGGCAATCTAAAATAAAATGCAGAAGACAACTTCCAGGGGAACTGCTCAACTCAGCCCTATGCCTTCAGAGCTGCGAGCACACCTCCACGCTGCACTTGAGATCTGCGTGTCTCCTAGGTGCCCGCAGCCCTGACCATGGACAGGAAAGTGGCTGGTGGGGAGGTCCTACTGACTGAAGCTAGACCAATCAAACGACTTCTCCTCGGAAATTTGTAAGTAGGGCTGAGGGGCAGCCAGTTGTTTCAAGTTTAGAAGGGACTATTCATCTTTCCGCTATGCAAAGAGATGAAGACAGCTGAACAGAAGAGAGTGCTAAATGAAGAACACGTGCTAGGAGGACCAAAGACAGAAGTTGGAAGGACTGGGTGTGCTGCATTCCTTAAGACTTTCCACCTCCTGGTTCCCTCATTTCTTCCCTCTTTGCTTGCCCTGGCTCAATTTGAGTTTTTGTTATTATATGTAACCCAAAGAACCTTAACTGATTCCGGTGGGAAACAGATTATTAAGAGAAGCAAAGTGGAAGAAGAACTTCTAAACAGTTTTCTACCACACAGAGATGAGGCAGAAAAGCCAAGACCCCTAGAGATCCAAGGCAGCCCCGATGGTCCTACCCCTCGACCTGTTTCAGTTCAGGGTGAAGAACAGTTTTCTCACTTTTCGGACCACTCATGCCAGTATCTAGTCACAAAGATCTCCTCCAGAAAGGTGTTCCAGGATCTTTGCCCTATAAAATATTTGAAACCAAACTGCACAAGTTTATAGACAGACTCTCACTATATAGTGTAATGGAAACGACAGGACTCTCTGTGTGTATCGTTGGGCAAGGACATCTAGAAGCTATGATGCCTGAAACCAACGATTCTTGGAATATAATGCATGAAGATGATCTTGCTTTTCTTGGCACTCTCCCACAAGCCTTCTGTCACTCTGAACCAAATCTCTTTCCATGTGGTTTTCATTCATTTACATTTTTTAAAAAATTATTTAGCTAGGAGAGCTATTTGATGAGTGGTGATTCAGTGATTCTTTTCATTGTGATCTCAGCTCAGTGATGATGCATATTGTTCACATGATGTTCCAAGAAAGTGGAATCATTACTGACGCTATCTGAAGTCATCACTTGGTAATAACAGGCGTACATAGTTTCTTTCACTCTCCAGCAAAAAAAAAAAAAAAAGTTTGATATAGGATCAATACCTGTTTTGTGGCTCTATTTTGATTTTATTCCTTCAGAGCTCATTTACTGGAAAACTAACATTCTAACTAGCAAAGACCCGTTGTTTAATTTTTGGAAATTATAACTATCTCATGCCCATGGCTACTTCTGAGACCACATTAAGAGACATCAAAGATCACAGCTCACAGATCACCATAACACAGATCATTTAAAAATATGAAATAGTGCAAGAATTATGAAAACGTGACACAGGAATACTGAGCAAATGCTGTAGGAAAAATGGCTCCAAAAGACAGGATTGCCATAAACCTTCAATTTGTAACCAAAAAAAAAAAAAAAAGTAATATCTGCAAAGGGCAATAAAGCAAAGCACAATAAAATGAGGTATGCTCATACTTCATTCTTCTCCAGACACTGTTGGTATGTATCATATTAATATTAAAAATATAGGCATAAAGAAAACTTAAAAAAACAACCACTAATGGAAAATATTTGAGACAGTCACCCAAATATCTGCCTGCCCAGACCCTCTCTGATGAAATATACTTTTTCTGGTGACTTCTCTGAAGCTTTGTCTGTATACTTGATATCAGGTTATTTACACAAGACAGTCCAAAATCAATGCAAAACAACTACATACCAAATTCCATAGTGACTTACAGCTCTATGTTTTTTCTTAGTTGGAATTTTATATAAGGAAGTTTGCCTAGATTTAAAGATAAAATAAATATGGTCTTGGAGAAACTATCTCCATCATTTAAGAAAAAATATATATATATTCCCGAGCCTTCACTAAAACTGTCCCACTTGGGTTTTTAGAATGAGAAAAGGCATATTTTGCTTAATTTGCCTGTGAAAATATACCTTTTTGAGAATGTGGAAAACCTATATTATTTGAAGCACAACTTGGTAAGTGTTTCATTTTTTATGAGCCCCAGGAAAATAAATTTATTCCATTTATACAAATAGTAAAGATTTTTAAAAAATTCTTAGAACCATCTCTAGTCTCCAGAAATTGGTATCATAGACTGTACATTTCCTATATAGATGGCAAATTATTCATAAAAGACAGCAGAATACAATTTCTTTTATGAGGCTTTAATAAGTACTGAGTATTTTGCAACTATTATCTCATTTAGTTTTTCATAACTAAAACTGCCCAATTATTGACCCCATTTTACAAATGAGAAAATTAAATTTTAAGGAGTTTAACGTGCCTGTAGTCACATAGCTAGAAAAAGGAAGAGCTCAGACTCAAACCCAAATTCCGTCAAATTGCAAGAGCCCACAGTCACAAATGTCAGAAGGCACATCCATGATAAGTTTTGAAGATTACCAATAAGGAGAAGACATGCCAAGATGCCAGGTCTGGTCCTGCCATTTACTCATAAAGTGGGTTTAAGAAAGGAACCTACTGCTTGACCGGTTTGGCTCAGCGGTTAGAGCGTCACCCCGTGGTCCAGAGAGACCCAGTTTTGGTTCCCGCTAAGGGCATGTACCTCGATTGAAGTTTGTCCCCGGTCCCGGTTGAGATCTTGTGGGTGGCAGCCAGTCAATGAGTCTCTCTCACGTGGATGTTTCTCAGTCTCTCTCTTCCTTCCTCTCACCTTCTCCCTCTATGTGAAGATAAATGCAAAAAAAGTGTCCTTGGGAGAGGATTTAAAAAAAAAAAAAGTAAAGGCACCTACTTCAGAAAAAAGAAATATATATATACACACACACACACACACATTATATATGTGTGTGTATATATATACATATACATACATATATTATATATGTGTGTGTGTATATATATATATTTTGTTGTTGTTGTTGTTGTTGTTGTTTTCTCTATAGCACAAAGACAATAATTTCTGTGATGCCTGAGCCGGTCAGGTCAAAGGAGATAATTCAGCGAAAGTACTTTGAATTTGCCCAGTGCCCTTCATGGCTAAAATAGAACCACAAAGCTGATGTGCACCCCAAACCTCGGAACCTGGCAGCGTGTGCGGTTCCGGGTCACCGATGAGAGTCACTGAGCTCTGGGCAGTCGGGCTGTGCATTCTTTGTGAGGAATGATTGGTACTGAATTCTGCAGCTTTTCAAATCATCTGTAGAAATAAGAAATATTGTTTTATTTGAGGAAACAAGATAGTCTTTGAGAGTATTTACACTCCCATCGAGGTCACTGGAAGAACGTGTAATTGCAGAGCCGATGGGTCTGAGCCCTGGGAGAGCGAGCAAGAGGCGGGACTGCAGGAAGCGACGGGAGGGAGGAGCGCGGAAGATGCCTATCAGCAGGCACCTCCTTCTCCGAAACAATGTTTCATTTTCTGAAAGACAAATGGTAATGACAGTTTATAAGAGAAACAGACTATTTCCGAAACGTCCTGAAAAATATTTTTGTCCAGAATAAAAAGTGGTTTCAGAACTGATCACAGATCCTAACTTTTTTTGGTCAACTTTCATGTTTAGAAAAGTTCATCAAATGAGCTTATTTTAATATTGGCATTGTCTCTCTCTCTGCCCATGTATATGTGCGTGTGCATGTATATGTATATGTATAAGAGAAAAGGCAGCATTAGTATTTGAATAGCCAATTCTAATAAGCACTTACCATGCATAGGCAAGGACCTTCCTTTCCCTTATCTTATTTAATCCTCCCAAGGATCTCACAGGTGCTGTTATCAGATGAAAAGCAGAGACTGAGACAGGTCAGTGACCACTGACATGTCTTACATTTGATAATAACCATAATTTAAAACCTACTATGTGCCTGACATTTTACAGACATTAAGTCCAGTCTTCACAACAACACTGCAAGGTAACTATCATTGGTCTTAGTAAATCCTTGCAGATACCAATTCTCAGAAGACTTCAAAAAATACTAGACGAGGAGGAGCCCGCTGAGATGATCCAGGTCCTGGGCCCCAAGCCTGCCCTAAAGGAGGGCAACCCTGAGGAAGACCTCACAGCTGACCAGACTAATGCCCAGGCTGCGGCTCTGTATAAGGTCTCTGATGCCACTGGACAGATGAACCTGACCAAGGTGGCCGACTCTAGCCCCTTTGCCCTCAACTTGCTGATACCTGATGACTGCTTTGTGCTGGACAACGGGCTCTGTGGCAAGATCTACATCTGGAAGGGGCGAAAAGCTAATGAGAAGGAGCGGCAGGCGGCCGAGGACTTCATCTCGCGCTTGCGGTATGCCCCAAACACGCAGGTGGAGATTCTGCCCCAGGGCCGTGAGAGTCCCATCTTCAAGCAATTCTTCAAGAACTGGAAGTGAGGGGCATCTCACGGCGTCCGCCTGCTGCCTGGTCAGTGCCCAGGTGCCCCTGCAGATGTTCAATAAAGGAGACAAGTGCTTAAAAAAAAAAAAAAATACTAGTCACACAGCTAAAAACCTATGCCGTGTTGGACCAACTTCAGATCATGGAAGGTGAGTAAATTCACTAGCTGTTAACAGAGGCAGTTCGTCAAGGCGTCACCTCACCCACCTGTCGTGTGGTGCCCTTTCCAGCACAGAGGCTGGCCTCTGCCTGACCACCCAGAGCGCCTCGCCCCTTGTGTGCCAGTCTTACAAAACAGAATGGAGTCAGTGGCATGACATACCCTCGCCTTTGGCATGTAATGCAGCCTTATCAAGAGAGTGACATTTTATCATCTTTGTTTTATTATTTTGGGTGAAAACAAGACAGTTTCCACTGCACTTGAAGAATGGGGATTGTATGTGGTGTGATTCTTTGGGGAAGGGGTTACTCTAGAGTATGTCTGTCACAGCCAATACATTAAATAAATCTAACCAGATTTAAATTACTATATTATCTAAACTCTTTTATTCTGTTTTGTATTATTATATACATTCATAAAGAGTTGAGAGCTGAAGAAAGGGGAAACTTTTCTTTTTAAAATTATGTAGCCAACATACTATATCTTAATATTTTGTCACTTTCCCCCATATGTCTAGTTATTGGTAAGCATGTTGTATGTAAAAGTAAGTGCTCACAAGCATCACCATTGCAGTATTTTAATCCCTTAATGATTCTTTCAACATTTATACTTCGGTTGACTGATATAATTTACCATATAAAACTCAGATGTTTCTTTCAAGTTATACCTACAACGTTTGCCTATATTTAAAATAGCCTTTCATTTTTTTCAATATGTGGATATTAGCAATAAATTAAAATGATATACTTTGATTGTATTAACATAGTTACAGTGATTACCTATAATAGAAATTTATGTACTCACATAAAGCATAAATAATGCGGAATTCCAGGGATGTCAGATATAATGTCAAAACAGACATAGGCTCTTCAGCCTCCAGAATGCGGAGTTGAAGGTGACCGAATACCAAAGCAAAAACCATGTGTTGTTTCTGCTGATTTTCACTAACGGTGGTTTTAGAATTACTGTTGAAGTTGTAGTTCTGACCCATTTTTCATTCCTATTTTCACTTACTATGTCTTCTGTCATTTTTTCTTAATTAATTTCACTGAAGTTTTGTCTATTAGCTTTTAAAATTTTCCCTTTGGATTTTGTTATTAGACTTCTCTATGCCTCTAATTCTTTTCTTATATAAAGGGAAATGATAAGGTTTTCTTTAAATTTGGTTTTCTATTTCAATTAATTTCTATTCTTCTATGTTTGGGTTTATCTTGCTGTTCCTTTTTTTTTTTTTACTTTGAATTAGATTCTTAGCTTTTTAATTTTCAGCCCTCTTCTTTTTAAATATGAACATTTAAAACTATAAATTTCCTCTGTCAACTTTGTTAACTACATTGCACAACTATAGACACATTATAATTTCATTATCTCATAGACTTGAGTGTTCAAAATTTTTTGTAATATCTATTCTCTGATCCAAGAGTTATTTAAAACTCTAATATTTTTATTTCACATGTACCTTGCTTAAAATTGATATTTTTATTGATTTCCAATTTAATTGTGCTTTGGTCAGAGGAAATATTTTAACATTTCTTTTTCTGAACTTCTTTGAGACTTCCTTTATGGATTGTAATATGGTCAATTTTGTAAGTGGCCTGAACTTTTCAAGAAGATTATATATTCTTAAATTGTCTTGTTTGAAAAATCACAAAAATCTCAGTGAATTAGCATAAACGTTTCTTTGGCACTCGGGTGGAAGTTTAGAAAAGGGATTGGTAATTACTCCAAGCAGAGATTCAGAATTCAGGTTGTTTTCAGCTTGTACTTTCACCATTTAAAAAATGCGAGCCTTAAGGTCATTGTGCAGATTATCTTCATTCTAAGTCACCACAGGGGGGAAAAGTTATGGAGACACTCTCAGTCATGTGGCCACAAATGGCAGAGCAGAGAAATGTAGTCTAGCTCAATGTCAGGGGAAAAAAGGCAATGTATTTTGATATTTTTAAACTCTCTATAGCCCAGCTGCTGTGGCTCAGTGGCTGAACATTGACCCATGCACCAACAGGTCACCAGTTCGATTCCCAGTCAGGACACATGCTCAGATTGTGGGCCCCATCCCTAGTCGGGGGCATGCAGGAAGCGGCCAATTGATATTCTCTCGAATCAATGTTTCCACCTCTTTCTCCCTCTCCCTTCCTGTCTCTCTAAAAATCAATAAAGAAAAAAACTAAATTAAACTCTATATTAAACATTATCTTTTTTGAACTATAGAATTATAAATAATGTTTGTTCAGATTTTCCCACATGTTTATTAATATCTTTGCTCATTATTTTCTTAATTTGACTTTTTTTTTTTTTTACGTTAGAATAGGCATGTTATGCTGAGGCAAAAAATTAACCCTAAACCTTAGTGAATTAACCATCAAAAATTGATTTCTAGCACACCCCAAATGTCAAATGCAGGTGAGTGGAGCCATTTCTTCTTAAAATCTGTCAGGGCCCCATGCAGATGAAGGACCATATCATACGATGACGCTACTCTGTTGTTCCATGGGCCACCAGTACCACAGGTTCCTGCCTCTTGCAGCTCATTGGTCAGAACCTGTGGTAGGACCTCCAGCTGACTGCCGTCACCTCACTGCGGAAACAGGGTGGGGGACACACAGGATCACATCTGTCAGCCTTTCTGGTTTCATTGTCTTCTTTCCTTTAGAAATCTTCTACTCTAAACTTCTGTGGGTTGTAAGCACTCTTATTTTTGTTTCTGCGAATATCTCTATATTTAGCTTTATCGTTTAAAGATCGCTTTATTAGATTCACGATGATAGGGTCTTTTCTCTAAATATTTTGAACCTATAATTAATAATTATGGGCTCTTTTCTCTTAATATTTTAATGGAAGCCACAAGATAAGGTCTTCTAACTTTTGGAAGTTAGGAGACATTTTTAGTAGTTTTGAATTTTATACATTTTTACCACAATATGTTTGTGTGTCTTGTTAATTATGCCTGAAATCTAATAGTCCTTTCAGAAATTTTGAGTTTTGGCTTCAGTTCAGTGAACTGGTATTCTATTATTTCTTTGTTCATTATTTCTCATCTGTTCCCTTTTGGCTCCTAGTAATTACATTATTCACATACAGTGTCCCAGATCTCTCTTCCATAGCTCATGTTATTTTGCTCATATTTTCCATTTCTTTGTATATTTGTTCTGCATTGGTGCTTATTTCTTCAATTTGATCTTCCAAGATAACTATTTCCTACCATGTTGGCCTTTAAGAAAAAAACTGTCATGTTGCTTCCCTCTTGCTTCTTAGTAAGGGCAACTCACCATACTTCTCTGAAGTACAAAAGCTATCAGCGACATCTCCCTCTCCCTACCACAAAATCAGTTTGCAAGTAACTCTGCAGTAACCATGTCCTTTGCTTCCCTATTGCAATGGTCAAATGATCTGCTTCTGCTATAAATGCAAATACCTCCAATATTGTTATTTCTTTTATATTATCATTAATTGTCCCTATTTATTCACTTATATACAAACATGCTATGTAGTAGAAAATATAACCTGGTGGTTCTGGAGTCAGACTACGGATATTCAAAGCTCAGCTCTGCCAGTTTCTATCCATATGACCCTAAAAAATATAATTAAATTTGCTATAAATTTTTTTCTCATATAATAAGGAGGAAAATAGTGGTACTTAGCTCTTTATATTGTTAAGATTAAATAATTTATTAATTTGAAGTAACTGACATAGCCTGAAGCATAGCACTCAATAAGTAGAAATTAATATTTTTCATGTTAAAAAATGAAATCAATTTCACTCGACTGTACAAAATTTCCTAATTTCTGCCCAGTTTTATGCTTTCGCATCAAATTCTCATAGTATGTCCACATTCTCTCTCTCTCAGCCATCCCATATATATTTTTGCCTTCAAATACTAGCAAAAGGCTGGTAACTCCCAATTTTCTCTCTCTACCCACCTATGTCCTTTGCATTCTAGACTCGTATCTGCTTATTCAGCATCTCCGATTTGATGTCTCATCTGCATGTCAACATGGTCAGAACTGAACTCTTGATCCTGACCCTACCCATCAAATGTTTTCTTTTACCAGTCTTTTCAATCACATTAAATGTCACCCCCACATATCAATTTCTTAAGCCAGACTCCTAAAAATCATACTTAATCCCTGTACTTCCATCATCACCCACATCAGCCTGGATAATTAATTGCTTTTACCTCCAAAATGCACCATGCACCTGCTCTCCTGTTACTGTCTCGGGGCCACAACCTTGTTCAATCCAACAGTGTCACATACACACTGCATTGGCCACTAGCTTCCTCATTCCTCTGCCCACTTTCATTCTCATACCAGTAGCCCCCCCACCTGTTTTCCACATAGCTGGCAGACCACCTTTTCATAATTAAAGTGTTCTCATACTGTGACCCAACCCAAGATTTCTTAGCTTGAAAGTTGAATTGATATAAAAGTTATAGGTCCCTGCCTTTCCTATCTTTATCTTTTAAAAAATTATATATACATATATATGCTTTTATTGATTTTAGAGAGAGAGAAGGGAGAGGGAGAGAGAGATAGAAACATCGATGAGAGAGAAACATTGATCAGCCATCTCCTGCCTGCCCCCTACTGGACACTGAGCTGGTGACCCCGGCATGTGCCCTGATTGGGAATCCAACCAGTGACCTCTTGGTGCATGGGGCGATGCTCAGCCACATCGGCCGGGCTCTCCTACTTTATCTTGATCACTCTACTCCCATTTACTATATTCTAACTGCACTGCCTACAGATAGTTCAGGGGGCATCCGAGCTCCTTCTTGTCTCAGGGCCTTTAGGCATAGTTTCCTGTGACTGGGATAATATTCATTTGACAAATCTCTCTAGATTTTTGGGACTGTGCTAGCACTTCTATAGAAAGAATTTTCCTATAACTCTATATAAAATAGTCCAT